GTGGACCGCTAAAACAACATTTTATGAAAGTCACTWTAAATACACAATTCTACCAACTGAAAGATCTTTTTTTTCTCGGCTCTTCAAAGGACAGGCTTCGACCATTTTTCGTCGAGCAGTGGCTGTTGTATTACGGAATGTATTACGGAACAAACAAGCGATCCATTGATAGCTGGTTATCTTTAGTACAAAGTGACTATTTGTAGAATTGGCAACTGCTGAACTTTTTTTTGTAGTCTGGTCGCTTACCAAGTGGAGTTCTATTTAAAAAAGTGCTATATTGCCCGGAAAATCCATTTAAATTCTTTGTTTTCAAGTCACGTCACAGWGGCCATCTTGGAGGAACTTCAACAAAGGATTYGTCATCAGTATCTATTGTTCGTTCCTCCAACGTGGCCACCGGTCTTTTATCTTTTAATCTCTAATCTTTAGATAATGAAATCATGCAATATTCACATAGGGATCTCAATTTACTTATCGATATGATTCAAGGAAACCTTTAACATGTTCCGCCAGTTTTCATTACACACGATTAAATGATGATTTCTGTGATAAAGTCTCATAGACGGTCCGCTTCTTCCCTCCCTCAGGAAGCGCTTTTGCCCGCGCGATGGGATAATTCCCTCGTTTTCCCATTCATTGGGTTACAAAAAACAAAACGATCGTCTTTCGCAAGTGAATTCGTTCTGACATCTTGTCACTTGATAACCTTCGCATGTCTAAATCCGTTAAAAGCTCCACGCACTCTCATTACGCTAAAGCACWGTCAATTTGGAAGATGACTTGCCTACTGCGATATAAGATTTCTTAGCGTTGCCCTTTGATCATGAGGTGGAATTGAACACCTGAAAACCATAAGTTTAGTCTGGCATGCAGTTTTCGTGTCAGGAGCAAACTASGACTTCTGTTCTTCTAAATAACTTTCCTTATACGATTTTTCTTTGGAATGAGATACTGAAATGAGATTCTGACAAGCAACTTTTTTTATTTGTTTKTTTGTTTGTTTATTTTATTATTATAGAAATTCTTAGTTTCCTGGGAAATATTGTTATTAACTTACTATCAACCACTGTTTCTTTCACTTGTATGAGACATAAGAAAAGATATATTTCTTCAAGACACCCGTTTGCCCCTCCTATTAGAGTTTTTTGATTCACGCGCGAACGCCAAACGTCGAAACTATCCATGTGATCTCAATATTTTTCTGTATTTAAAACTCAGTTTCATTTGACAGTTTCTTATGCTTGAGCGTATTGCTRTTTCTTTGCAAGAGTTTTTTTTTCTTTTTTGAAAACAAAGCTTTAGAGCTAATAATGTGAAGTTTGGCGTTAACCGCAAACGTGCCTTTTTGTCCGACTTTGTGAATAAGGCCGCCCGCATACCGAGATTCGGTGACGCGTAGGTACTTGTGTTTGTCACGGAAATTCACTGATTCAAAAAATTGGGTTTAGGAAGGATTAGTGAAATATTAATCTGGTTATAATAGAGCCTAATTCCAATGCATGTAACCATTTAAAAAAAGGACAATCGCGTTTTGGAATGTTTGTCGATTAAGGCCATTTCATTGTTCTTTTATCATTAATCTTGTGATTTTCTTCAGCCTTCACTGGAAAAAATCGCGCACATTTGATGTAAATATGATGTAAGTGTCCAAAATTCTGTACATTTAATGGGAATCRTTTACATCAAATTTAGTGTCTAAATGTCAGGCAGCCGTGATTGTATATACAACCCTTGCCGAACAGCATTATTTCGGTCTTTATTTCATTTTTCTTGTTCTATTAATTGAAAACGCCAAGCAATGGAAAAATTCCAAAGTGTCGTGCTTGTGTATATGAAACTTGTCGAACAGTATTAGTTCGGTATTTATTCCATTTCTCTTCAAGTTGCACTAATTGAAATTACGGCTGTGCCGACAATTAAAAAAAAAAACAAAAATTGACTGCCTGACATTTAGTTCTGGGGCTAAACATCAGTAATTAAACTTAAAGTAAGTAGTCTAGGGGGCATTATTAGGACCACAATGGCGCCCATGACGTCACAAARTAATCACGCCGTTCATGTACTAATATATAAATGATCTTTTCAAATATCACGTTGTTTTGGAACCGCTAAAAACTAAGTATCTCAGCATTCACTAGAGAATCAAACCAGATAATCTTTAAAAGTAATAGAACTCGACCTCTTTAGAGGTAATTTAGTCGATTATATCTTTTTGTTTTACCAATAAGGAGATGGAATTATTGACCTCCTCAAGATCGTATAACGTCATAAGAAATGCCTTGAAAGGAATCTTGTGATTGGTATAAAACCCGGAAAAAAAAAAACAATCTACAAGATGACCTTCCAAACCAAACCAAACCTAACAAATATAGTCTAAGTTCATTACTAAGAGCAATCAAGAGCAGACTCTGTTTGACGGATTTTTGAAAAACCCCAATTCCAATTATATTAATATAAGATATATTACTATATTCCTTTTTTTCAATTAAAAGATAAAAAAGATAATTGAATTTTCTATGTTTTTTTTCTTTTTTCTTTTTAATCAAGAGACTTTGGATGACTTAATCTTTTGGATACTCTTGAAAAAAAAAAAAAAAATCCCACTCAGGAATTGAATGGATTAGGAATATAGTGTAAACGTTTAAAAATTAATGTCATTTAAGCAGCTTTTCAAAAGCAAGACATAAAGCAATTTTTTTTAAAAACATGAAGTTCCATTTATTTCCTTAAGTGGTAAATTTGATTGAATGTGACTGTTGCTTCAAGAGCACACCACGTAATACCCGCCATGTTGGATGAAGATGGCAAAGCATTCCTCATTAACTTCTTGTTCAATCATTCAACATGGCGTCGATGGATTTGTTTCTTTTTCCAGGGCATTATTTTCTTGGCCATGTGGTTCAATTGCAAACAAGGAATAGTTAAAACTATAATTTGTTTCATGTASGATGGAAAGAAACAAAGATTTCAGATAGAACCGTCTTATTGAGCAAGGGGTTTTTAATTTGGTGGGATATTTGATCAAATGATCCAGTGCGTGTTTCTTGACAAGCATTCTTCACAGCGTTTCTTACAGTGTTTCGCCATGAAAGGTGTTTTTACTAATGAGCGCATCTCAGAGGTATATTCTTACTGAATTGCGCGCAATGTAATCCAATATTCCGTCTGCTTACTTACTGTCACRTCATTATGTATTGAATCTGGCATASGTRACAYCAAACATTTTGAAAAAGTTCTGATGTTTACCGTTTTTTACTGATGGCCATCCCACCTTAGTAAATTTGTTTTTAAGACAAAATGACGCCAAAATCCTTTCTAAAGAATGGCTCTTTACTTGCAAGGCTTTGTAAAGATCAATTAGATGGAAATAAAGCGATACAATCTTTTTTAAAAGTCTTTTTATTCTTGTCTAGGCTTATATGACATACGCAAGCACAAATATTCAGATTTAGAAAAATGGAYATCTCGAGGGATCTTCAAGATGGAGCCTATTTTCTGACCTTCTAAGTGAGCTATATTCTGAAAGTCCAATGTGCGTCCGAGAATTTTTGCACGATTTTCTCACATTTAWAACATCGCCATCTTGGATTTTGARCCAATCAGAATCAATTTGTAGCCATAAAAACAGATGATGACGAAAGTACTCGAATTCACGTGTGATTTTAAGTATTTCAAGATTCATTTTGTCTACAAGTAAAAAGAAAATGTATGCTAATGAGAGAAAGCCATTTTGACAAAGTCGATACAGTATAGTATTACTCTWCTGAGGTAGATTAAGGAGGGCAGAGGAGTGTGGGGGAGGTAAATATTGAAATTGTTTCTTGAGGTTTACCAACAAAAAGCTTTTGCCTTAACCAACAAAATCTAAACAACAGAAGACTTTGGAAAACAAATTGTGACTAACAGATGGAGGAAATTACAGTCTAAATAAGTATAATCCGGCATCGCATTGCTTCTTGAGGCTTCAAAATAAACCTGCCTTTGTCTTAAACAACAGAATCTAAATAACACCGGAAGACTTTGGAGCACAAATTGTGACTAACAGACGAAGGAAATTATAGTCTGAATAAGGAAAATAATTGAAAGAATGTCAAGAAAGGAAATTGAAGACCACGCAAACATAACTGCAACATAAACTCGGTAGAATATCGATATCAACAACTCACAATTTAAGATAATTAAATGGTACAATTTTTAAAGCTTTTCTTCCAGATTTAGCAGTTTTACACAATGGAAAAATATGGCCAAAGTAATATAGAACATCGGATTTAAGTAAAAAGGGATATTTCGGTGTTTGAATGAACTTTGCAGTAGTATAACAAGGACATTGTTTTTTTCAATACCTGTATAATGGTACCAAAAATTGACTTTCTCGGAAAATTTCCGCGCTTCAAAATTTATATCATTACTTCATAACATCCAAAAAATGCTATGTTTTAAATTGTTTTTTATGTTTTATGATAAAAAATTTAATCCCATTGCCTTCTAAAATCCCTACAGTCTATGAATTTCGTGTTCAGTATCCCCTGGGCTACCCAATAATTTCTTACTGGATTAACATTTGAAACAATAGAATTCAAGATGGCGGCCATATTGGTAAAAATCTCCSTTGRTTAGTTTTTTTTYYTYYWAAAAAAATTAATATTTCCTGAAGCAAACAAGTAATCAGATAAGATTTCTGACGAGAAAAAMATTGATCCTTGATCTTTGAATCTCAGTAATTATTGTTTGATATTGTTTTTTTTGTGATGAAGTTTTCCTCTGTTGACGTTTATTAAAAGTGTTTGCTCATTAGTACAATTTCCTTGTCTTGGTCACAATTTGTGCTCGAAACTAGATTTATAGTTTTCCGGCGGCGTTTGAGAAGAAGAAAGAATATAAAAAGTCAGTCAGAACCCAAGAAAACAAACAAACAAGTGTGAATTAAACTCTTTTTTTTTCTTTTTTTTTCTTAAAAGAAATCACCCATTAAAACACCGCAATTTCCTTGTGTTGATCGCAAATTGTGAACGGAACTAATTCCATATTCTTCCGGTGGCATTTGAGAAGACGRATATGACATTAAAATGAGAAAAAAAGCAACCAAAATAAAAACAAACAATTAAAAAAATGGTAAATTAAAATCTTAAGGCCAGGGTCAAACTCTGAACTCAACACGTCCTCACTTCATTTTGTTCGAATTGTTTTTTTAATCAAGCTTTTAAGCCAAAATATTATTTAGTGTCAAATAGTACATAGCACAAGATAAACACAAGGTATTAGCTATGAATTTAAAAGAAAACTTCAATTTCGAATCCAACGCGAATAACYGCTGTTATATTTGACAGCAGATTCTCTTACGCAAAGACCTTACCAAACACAAAAGAAAGCAGGAGAAAATGTTGTGCCTGTATTTCCAGAAGGCTTAAAGCTTAGTTCTCATGGGAATACAGGGTTAGCCTCAACTCGGAGAAGAAGCAAATTTTCAAGGCTATTGTAAGAACGACATTATTTCCTCGTACTTTCTTTAGATTTTTTTTTCTTTAGGTCTTTGTGYAAGAGAATCTGTTGTCAAATAAAGCAGCGGTTGTTCGCTTTTGTTGGCATATGATGCCAACCATTGAGACTTGGATAGCTCTATATTTTGTCTTGAATATGTCTTGTTTAGAGGAAGGACGTCCTCGTTCAAATCTGGATCAAGTACTCAGAAAAAACACCTAAAAAAGGTCAAAAAAGTTCGCAAGGAAACTTCTTCCTCCCTAGGCTTTATTAGACATCCTCTGTTTTGATAATTTGAAGGATTTTTTCGAGGTCTATTTKCCTTTAGGGTTGTTTTACAAAGAACTACAATCAGGGTTCGTGCTACATTTTCACGATAAAATTCCAGGACTTTTCAAGAACTTTTCAAGCACAAAAATGCGATTTCCAAGKAGTATTTTTTAAGATATTTTTCGATGTTTGCAGACGTTTCAAGTGGAGATTTTCAAAAATGAGCCCAATTTCAATCCAAAAGCTAAATACAAGCAACATGTCAATTTTATCAGATTCAAGGAGTTTTTCCAGGAGTTTCACAAGGAGTTTCAGCGATGTTCARCAAGGCCTTTCAAGCACCCTTGAAAACGAGTTTTCAATTCCAGGACTTTTCAAAGGATTTCAAGGAGAGCGCGGCACGAACCTTGTACAATATACATTCTAACCTGGTGATCTGACATGCTTTTTTTCCAAACAAATCAGTTTTCTGTACTTGTTTTTATATATAGTCATGATACTTAGTTAAGAAAGTTATACGTGAAGTTATACAACAATGAAAAGTTTAATATGAAATGTTGCTTTATCTGATCAACCAAAACGTTTTCATCTTCCCTTTGCCCTGTCAAGAAAGAATATAGCAGTTTCAAAAAAGGTTGTCGGATAAAATGGCGAATGTCAATGGTCGAACGGCGATTGCACGACCGAAAGTAGCCATGGAATTTGCTAATTGAAAGGCAATAACAACTGATTTGTACTGTAAGATGGTCTGTGGTAAACATTGGCTCCATTTAGTCAGGGACGTCCCTGATTTAGTCTCCATTTCTATGTAAAGTGAATCCAATAAGTGAAACTTTGTTTATCAAAACAGTGCAACCATAGTCCCTTTCGGCCGTGCAATGTCCCTTCGACAATTGCCGTTCGCCGCTCTCTCCGACAACGTTTTTTTGAAATAGCTGTATAAAACCCAACTTATTGTGAAAAAAGTTCAAATGCACTTTAGCGTGCTCAGTACTTGTCCAGGAAATGGTGGATAGAAGCGAGACGACCGTTGAGCGTGCAATGATAGAACCCTTMTTTCACACCTACAGACAATTATTCACAGGTATCTATCATTGCGGTTGTCTCGATTTAATGCAAAGACTCCGCTACGTTTCAAGATGGCGTAGGGAACCGTGAAGGCGGCAATATACGGCGGTGGCATGGATATCATCGGAAGAAAGACAGAAATAGAGGGCTTCTGTGTGCATCAACAATCCCCGCCAACATAGATGGCACAATTTGACACCATTTAGAWACATTTCCTTTATTCGTGAGCTCTCTTTTTAATTCTCCTTCCCTGAGCTAATAATGTTGCGTGGCAAAAAGCAATTCAGGTGTCTCCAACTTTCTCCAACGGGTAAAAAGGTGAARGGGTTTGGAAAATTAAAGGGACATGGTCCACTAGCATGCAATGGGGTCGTGTTTTAGATTTTTCATATATGGAAAATGAGGTGACTTCGAATATCCATTTGCAATCCGTTTCCATCCATCGGTTTAACAGTCGAATCTTAAAGCATCTCCATTCATATAGGATAAATGAATAATAAAGAGTAAGTTTTTGCTTATATTACGATGTATTTCTATTTTCAAACATAAACAACAGCTCGAAAGGGATGCTGTTGGACCATGTCCCTTTAACAGAGAATTAATTTGAAAACTGCAAGTTGTAAAAGTTTGAAAATCAACACGAATACGACCAGGCRGGGATTGCAGGCAATAAGGGCAGTAAGYATGACTTTCTCAGTGGTATTGTTATGTTTCAGATTACCTTCACTTCGATGACACCACGAAATTCAACCTGGAATTTAGATCCTTTTAGCGCCTCGTTGCATTGCTCGCTAATATGGATCCTCATTGGCTGGAATTAGAAAATGTAACTTAGGGGACAGGATAAACTAGAATACATGTGGCGCTCTACAATTTCGACCGTTAAACAGCTGAACCACTGTTAATCGTCCCTCTATTCAGCGACCACCCTCCATAGACCTAATTGGCTAACGCGTTGCTATAAACGTTTCCATCCAATGCGCGCCACGCGGGAGTAAATTTTTTTTGTTCTTGCATCTTGATTTCACAGTTGTATTTTTATAAACACATAATAATATAATATAATGATGATGATAATAATAAATGATATTCTTTTTCCCATAGGATTTGAATTGGGTTGTAACGTACATAACAACGCCGATTAGGTCTAGAGCGGATTTCGTATGAGTGGGACACCGTTACCGCACGGTTACCGCACAGTTACCGGACCTGTCCTGCACAATTTTGGTGAAGCAATGAGACACTAGAATTTGGTTACAGCACAATTACGGTTACAGTACAGTACCGTCCGTTTCCCACTCATACGAAATCCGCTCTATTTAGCAGTCACTTATAAATTTCCCCAAAAGGCGATTTACATAATTTGCTGTAAAACATGACCTCTAAATGGAGAGTCGTTTACAAGTTCAGTTGTATATATATTTTATAGTCTTTTGACAGTGCTTCTGGCCTCCATAGCCATCATTCTTACCAAAGCTGTAGTTCKTAATCTTGATGCAATGTTCACCGTGTCCCCAAAAAGACAATACTGCAGGGTCATCTCTCCGACCAAACCTGCAGCGACAGGACCGGTGTGGATACCTACAACACATCATGAAATAAAGAAATGCATTTTTAGAATAGAACCTTTGCCAAAAATGCAGGAGGAGCCGACCAGGTCTTTTCTTCTGAATAATTGTTCTTATACTATAATTTTTCTCATGAGAAAGTGATTGAGAACTAGAATTTCTAATTTGGAAAAACTCTCCCTTACGGCCGTTACCACTTGAGTATTGAAGAGATATTCGGGATTTTCCTTCCTGAAAAGATCTTGAAGAGTTTCCTAGGAAAACATTCTTATAGCCTATTCCTCTCCCAGATTAAAAAAAATATTCCTGAATGTATTATTTGCTGGAAACCAGTTGTAACAGCTGGCTGGGACATAATAATAGATATATTTCTCCCAGGAACCCATCGCTTCCTTTTGAAAATGGCCGCCACTCATTAGCATATGTTTGTTTTGCCAAAATACTAAAGGATATGTGGCGCAAAGAACTGATATGTTGGTTGCCAAGGATTCCTTTCTATGATCTCATTTTCTAATGCAGACATACCTATAGTAACTGTCATTGCTTTCTTGGTAATGGGATCTTTGACTTTCTGAACTGTATTCAACATGTCAAGGGCCATCGCAGCCATCGGTTCGGCGTGATGGTCTTGACGCTTGGGTGCTCCAGACACGACCATGTAAAGAGCGTCTCCAAGCGTTTCAAACTAAGGGGTGAAAAGAGCAGCTGCATTTATTGTTGTTATATAAACGTTAAATGAAGAATATTTACCTTGTATACATTGTGTCTCTCGGTGAGACGGTCAAACAGCGTAAACACGTTATTTATCAACGTAACYGCTTTCATTGGGCTAACGCGGGCGCAGATTGAGGCGAAGCCATCCATGTAGCTAAACATCACTGTCACACTGTCAAAATACTAACCGAGAGGTACAATCGTTGAGAAAAAATATTGAACCATAGAATTATTTGTCTCCAGCCTAACATTGTTCTTCTTTATTTTTTTTACAGTTTTCTCCCTTAGCCCCCTTTCATCAATGTTGGGTCTTGTTTTGGATGCTTGTGTACTATGGTAACATGGTCAATGACAACATTGCATTTAGGGGGTCAGGGGGATGAAATTGTCTGCGGGTGTTGCTTAAAATGAAGAAATGCGCTGGAATGGTCCAAGGATTTTGTCAACGATTGTAGATTCATTAATATGGAGTAATGGATGTCATCCTAAAAAGCCGATGTGCTGCGACGCCATTTTTAGCAAAGCATGATGGGAGTTCCTACCATTGCACTAAGTTCTTTTCATATCCACTAAAACTGTTTTCATAAGTCGTGTTTTTCAATTTTTCTTTGTAGTAGCAATGGAAGAATTTTAAGAGGCTCTACAAAGTACGAGGACTATAAACTCTTATCATGTCTACTGATACAAAATGGTGTCTCTAAATTTAAGGACCGAACGCTAACGTCACGTAAGGAGACAGGGTTTTCCCAAAACTATATTTTGCGCATGTGCATTACCTCACAAGTGCTAATTGGACTTTCTCCTTGTCTGAGTCGGTCAGCTATTTCCTTGGGAATCATTCGATAAAGCAGTTCCTCGCTCTTTTGACGTTCATTGTTGAGTTTTTCCATAGTTTGTTCCAACTCTCTCCCTTGTTCGAATTGCTGAAAGATAAAACAGTTATAGTGAGCATCGGACATGGGCCTGGAATAAAAGCAGTCATGTCAGAAGCCATCCCTCCAAACCTGCTTATTGATTGTTCCCCTTATATTACTGTACTTCTTTGGGTGGACATCTATTGTTTGACCACTCTATTATACAATTATTTCAAAGGCAAACGACGATTGTCGAAGAGAGATTGCATGKTCGAAAGGGATGACGGTTATACTGCTTTTGGCAGACAAATTTTCAATTAGTGGATTCACTTTACATAGAAATGGATACTAAATGGAGCAAATGCTTACCATAGACTATCTTACATAAATCAGTTGTTGTTATTTCTCATCAATAGCAAAACCCATGTCTACTTTCGACCGTGCAATCGCCGTTCGACAAAACTTCAGTTCCGAATTCTCATTTGTGCAAGTTAGCTTCAATCAAGCATAAATTTATATTGTCTTCGTTGTAGACAAAGTGTTTGCATTACAATAGGATCTCTGCGGAATAAAAGAATATATTCATGCATGCTTTCGATGTAAAGGCTGCGCAAATAACATCTCGAAACTGGAGTATAGACATTCGCCATTTTACCCGACAATCTTTTTTGAAATAGGTATATTAATCGAGAAAAACTATTTCCTCTCTCCTTCCAGTCCCCTCTCTTCCCTATCTTTCCACAGGTAAACCGAATACTATTAAAATCCCTACCTAAAAGATATAATAACCAACAACAGTGTTTTTTTTTATACCTGATCACGTGCGTATTCTAGTTGYGGCAGCGGTTTGATGCCTGAAAGAACCATCTCTTGTGACGTGTCATGCATACTGAAGTCATTCATGTATAAACCTGTATCAAGCATGGCGTCCAGACTACCAATACTGTAAAATACACCATAAAAATACTCTTAAAGAATCAGTAAACATCTGTAAGCTCTCTTAGTGTTTTCGTCCACCATTTTATTTGTTTGTTTTCGTTGTTGTTGCTGTTGTTAATGTTGTTGTTGGTAATTATGTTGTTGATGTTGTTGTTTTCGTTGTTGATATTGTCCTTGTTCTTGTTGTTCTTGTTATTGATGCTGTCGTTGTCTATGATGAATTGTAGTTATTGTTACTGCTGTATTTTATGTTGTTCTTTACTCCGACAGATAGAGTGCAAGTCACATAAGCATGAAACAATTCTTAATATGTATTGCTAAATAATATTTAGTTATCAACTAACTAAGAATTCAACAAAGTATAAACACAATGCCAATTATTTAAATTCCTTTGTAGCATTGTTCTCAATTCTTAGTTAGTTGATAACTAAATCTTATTTAGCACTACATAGTTAAGAATTGTTTCATGCTTATGTGACTTGCACTCTATGAATTTACCACTAAAATAACAGTTTAAAAGTACTTTTGTCTGTAAATAGACTATGTAGCAATCCTGGATATAGACGTTTCTAGTAATGGGCTCCCTGTTCTTYATAATGGCAACTTACAGAGGTGAACAAATATACAGTATCTTGTCCCAGGACTTTATGTATTTCATTTGTCCGCGCAGGTGAAGGGTTGGAGGCGAGTCCTGGGTGATTGAAGACTGCGGTGGCACTGAATGATTTGAAATCTGACTGCCAGGTTTTTGTGTGCTCGATGATTTAAAGTCGTTAGTACTTGTGGTRCGCTTCAGAGCTTGATGAGAGGTCTTTTGCTGRTCTTTTTGYTTGCGAGGATTTTTTCGAATCACGGGGATTTTCGATAACAACTCGAAGACTACTTTTCGTGTCATAAGCTGCCATAAAAAGAAATGGAAATTATTGAGAACATTWAGTTCTATATGGTGATTACTAATAAAATAAGATTTCAGTATTTACCAAAAACTGCAAATACATATATTTCTTTTCACTATACGTCACAGCGGCYATCTTGGAGGAACTTCAACAAAGGATTTCTCATTAGTATCTATTGTTCATTCCTCAAACATGGCCGYCKGTCTTTTATCTTTTGAATCTCATGGGAATGGTTGAAAACGATCAATACCGATTGCCATGTGAACTCAGCCTTTGGTCTTCTC